TTACCTCAACCATAGCTTAATAAAAATTTATATTTTACTAAAACTGAAGATAATTTTTTAATTCAAGAAAAAAGAAGTGACAAGGAAATTGAGACCTGGATTGAGAAATGGGATATAACTATATAAAGCAGAGCTTTCAGAAAATTATTAGGGAACAACTTTAAATAAATACATCTTAGGGACGCCTGGGTGGCTCGGTCGGCTAAGCAGCTGCCTTTGGCTCAGGTCACATCCCAGGGTCCTGAGATCGAGTCCCCCATCAGGCTCCCTGCTCAGCCGGGAGTCTGCTTCTCCCTCTGCTTGCTGCTCCCTCTGTGCTCTCTCTCTCTGTCAAATAAATAAATAAAGTATTTTAAAAATACATCTTAAAACTTAGTTGAAATGAGCATTGTTTCAGAAAAATAGAATTTAATAAGCTGACTCAATAGAAAAGTTCTTAACTGGTTTCACCATGCTAGCATAACCCAGATGCCCCCAAAACAAGGACAGTGAGTTACACAAACTACCCTGACTTCTGACACCAACCCCAAGTTCAGAGACCCTGAGACCACACTTGCGGTTGGTAATTCACTCGAGGAACTCATAAACTCATGGAAGCTGTTATGTTCATGGTTATAGTTTTTTATAGGGAAAAGACACAGATCAAAATTAGCCTAAGAAAGAGATTCAAAGAGCAGAGTTTAAGAAAGTACCAAACTCAGAGCTTGCAGCTGTCTTCTGTGGAGTCATGAACAGTGTTACTTTTGCAGCAGTGATGTATGACAAACACACACAGAGTACTGGCAACTGGAGAAGTTCACCCAGGCCTTGGTGTCCACAGTTTTTGTTGAGATTCAATCATGTGAACCTGATTGACTGCTCATGTGACCAACCTCAGTCTCCTTATCATAAATCCCATTGTTACTCTCTGGCTCTACCAATTTTTTTTTTTTTATGATTTTATTTATTTGACAGAGAGAGCACAAGCAGAGGGAGAGAGAGGGGGAGAAGCAGGCTCCCTGCTGAGCAAGGAGCCCGATGCGGGACTCAATCCTAGGACCCTGGGATCATGACCCCGGCCGAAGGCAGCCGCTTAACTGACTGAGCCACCCAGGCGTCCCAGGCTCTACCAATTTTTAAATTCAAGCCAAAAAAAAAGGGGGGGGGGAGAGTAAATTCATACCATGACTGAGAAACTACAGCTAAAGCAGAGTTTTTAGACAATAGCCATATTCATTTGAATTACAATGACTTTATGGTATATTTTGATATTTGGTAAGGCAAATTTTGCCTCATTGTTCTTTCATGTATCTTTCATAACTACTCTCAGACATTTATGTTTCCTTATAAAGTCTGAATTCTGTATTAGTTAAGTTGCATTCAGTTACAAATGCACATTGTTTATGCTCCATGAGTTAAGTTTAATTGCTGTACAAAAATCTTCCAAAAGATTACATTACGGTTTGGCACTAAAATGAAAAAGTTACTGTGAATGAAGAAATTCATATAGGCAGCAGTGGAACATAAATGTAATATTAGTAAAGGAAATTTGTCATCAGAGAAATTACTTCATTTTTCTATTTTCTTGCAAAGCAACAATCAAGAGGTTTAAAAACTAAGAAAGAAAGTTATCCCCACCCCCACTCCCAACCCCACATACAAATAAAATCTATTCTGTTTTGTTTCTAAGATGATACAGAAGGATCGTAATGCAATGGAAAATTTGCCAAATCTCTTGAAATAGATAAAATAAATTCCAAAGCAATGAGTGGTAGTGTCATCAATTCATGTGTTTTCAAAGACTATCATTAAGATGTCAAACATCTATTTATCAAAACTTCTTGCCAACTTTGAGCAGAAGACAATAGTGGAGCACTCTTTAAGAAATGTTCCATCACCAGTGTTCCTAACAGCCAAAGGATAATATTGTGTGACAAATGCAAACATCAGTGACTCGGAGTCCAAAAATGATAGAGAAGAGTTAGACTTTGCCTGTGAGACTGCTTTGGAACACCTTAACATCTTTATTTCACTTCTACTTTCCCTTTTAAGTGTGCATGCAAAGATGCACGAGATGGAAACTAACCCAGGTTAGACCAATCAGAGTGCGGCAGTACCCCGGCCACAGCGATTGGCCAATCAGAGTGAGGCTCTGGGCTTTGTTCATTGCTGGGTCAACTGACCCTCCCAATACTGGATCTTGAAAGCCATCCTATGACCACAAGAGGAACCAGCCCTAACATGAAACCAACACATGGATAATATAAAGCAGAGAAGCAGAAGAACCTGGATCATTGGTCACATTATGGATCACCTCAGGACAGTTTGAGTTGGGTTTTCTGTTTCTTGCAAATCAAAGTTGCCTAGCCAAATGAAGACTCAGTAAATGTCAAAGGATAGAGCAAATGATGATGAGTGGGGATGCTCGAGGCAGCCTTACTTCCCCAACCTGGGGACACAGTGATCCCACCATCCAGCCCCTAGTCAGTCATTGATTCACCTGGTAAGCCATTGGTTATGTCTGTTGAGGACTCCCCATAGAAGACCCTAAAGGCTTGGCTGTGAGGCACACTGTGGAAGTAGGGCATCTTTATACTTTTTTTAAAAAATTAGGAACAGTGGGAATCAGGGATATTGGCAAGTAAAAAGATATTTACAGCTGATATGTGCACATTGTTGTGGTTCATACATTTCTAGATCTTGATTAGACTTTCATATATCCACAGAATGAGAATCTGGGCCTGATGAAGTCGATGAAGTCAAGCACCCGTTTTTATTTTATTTTCACTTTAATGCTATCTGCTTCATAAACTGTTCTCACTGAGCCCAGACATACTGCAGGACCAATCAGCTTAAAAAATTGTGTTTTACTGCTGGCACGGATCACTGCTGAGTGAGCAGATGAAGCTAGCTGAATCTAGAAGTAGCTGTGATGCTGTAAGAATCACAAGTCTTTATCCACATCTGCCTCTTGCTAGCAATGTTTTCTGCCTGTCCTATGGGGTTTGTGAAGGACAAAACACTTTCCTAGCCCCTGTCAAAAGGATAACATACCAAAGTTATAGAAGTTGTCACAAAGCCAGTCAATCTTAATGTCTACTCCCTTAAATTCAAAATCTAGGTTATTTTATGGTCTTTACAAAGCTAGAATTACTTTTCTCTTTAAAACTTGGCAGATTGGTGTTTTTGTTTTTAATCCTTGAGCTTTGTAAGTTTTCTTTCCTGTGCCTACTTGCCCATAACTTATTCTTCTGGTCTGATGACTGCTTTTTAATGAGTTCAGCCTGTACCTTCTTGGACAAATCAGGAGTGTGAGGAGTGTGTTAATTAGCTATCAGATCTAGCCTGGCTTTTGAAGTTCAGAGTTTTGGAATGCTACAGAAGTGTAAATATAATCATGTTTTTTTTTGCATTTGGTAATTATATTTCAGCTGAAACCTCAGGAAGCTTCCCACCTCAGGATTCTGCTATCCCTGACCCCTGAATGGTTCTGTCATTAATGGCCAGTCTCTGCAGACCCAAACCCAAAGGAAATGTCTTCCTGTTTTGTTCTGAGTGGCCCTTCTTCCTTGCAACCTTCCTAACCGTTGACCAAACATCCTATTTCAGGATGGAGAAAATGAACCTTCTTCCCCTTCCCCTCATGGGGTGAGGAGGAATGAGGCAGAGTGAGAAAGTTCATCTGGGGGTAAATTGCCTTCTTATGACTATACCCAACTTGTACCAAATTATACCAAATATTTCTGGGAATTCAAATCAAATATCTACCTACTACTCTACGAAGCCTGCACGCTCCCCTAAACTGATCTTTCTCACCCTCAATCTAGAAACACCCTTTTTCATAACACTTCCAAGTATGTCCTGGTGCTGGCCCTGGGCCAGACTCTGGGGTCCCATAGATGAACAAAAGAACTCACCATCTGGGTCAAGGAGAGACCTCTTGAATAGATCCTTTAGGTCCATAAGCTCACAAAGAAACTGGAGACCAACTGGGAGGTCAGGGAGGTAAATCAGGGAAGTCTTTGGTCTTTGTACACCAGTAGGTAGTTCCCAGGTGAAGTGGGGGGAAGGCATTGCAGGCAGATGGTCACTCCTGACAGGTGGGTATGCCAGCCCTGCTTTGCTACAACATTCAACACTGTGACTGATCACCCGTTGTCCTAGTGATATTTTAAGTGTTGTATTGTGAGTCAGTTCTTCCTGTCTCAGAAAAGGTGTTCTTCCAACCGCCTACTTTCTTAAAACAGTGTGGACAGTTAACCTATGAGGAGTAAAAGAATGAGTGAATGAATGGGTGAGTAAGTGTAGGCCAAACTAGACCATGTTACTTAGACTCCAAGAGGAGCCCGGCAACATCCCAGGAGCCAGTGCTCCAGGCCATCAGGCACTATCCTCTGCCCAATGGCTAGGATTTGGGGATGAAAGAGAATGTGAGATGGGGTCAGGGGCTATCAATTCTGAATTTGTCCCTAAAGCTTGAAGGGACACTTATTGGAATGCGTCGGTCGTAAAGATTCCTCATCCCTATGACAAAAAGAAAAAAAAAGTCCATAAAAAAACTGCTCAAAAAATCGCTGAGCTGAAAGGTGTCTTCGGCCCATGGCTACCGGGCAGGTGTTTCAGATCCAACTAAGGCAGTCCAGAGCCTCCTTTTGCTCCAGGCAGTGCCCCTAATGAATGAGTCAAGGGCCTAGGGTCACCACTCGCGAAGGACTGAGCTAAGCTAGCGCTGTGAGAACGAGGGACCGCAGGTGGAGCTGCCCGAGAATCGCACAGGGTCGAAGGCGAACTCGGCACCGGGCGCAGTGCCAAAGAAACGGGACGGCCGCAGAGCCGGGGCTCCTCCCATAGGGGGCGGGGCCCTGCCGGGGGAGGGGGTGGAGTCCCAGCTCCTTCCAGAGGAGCGGGGCTGGTCACGTGGGAGAGGTACGGCGGCGCCGGCGCTAAGGAGCGCAGGCGCGGGGGCCACCCCTGGGACCCCTGGGGCGGGGGAGGGCTTGGCCCACTAGCCTCTAGGCGCCGGGCCCCGGGGCAGGGGGGCGGGGGAAAGCGGGGCTGGCTGCCAGCGCGCAGGTGACGTCCGCTGGGGTGAGCCCAGCCGCGGCGCAGGTGAGGAAACTGAGGCAGGAGGCCCGGTCGGCGCTGCGCGGGTGGACCCCTCGGGCGGCTCCAGAGCCGGCTGGAAGCTCCCTCCGAGCCGGCGGGGCGCGGCCGCACCTGCGAGGCCCCAGGCAGCCCCCACCACAGCCGCGGCGGACGGCGTCCCTCCCGGCTCGGCGCGCCGCGGTCAGCGGGAGAACCCCGCGTTGGAGGTCCGAAGACCCGGGGCCGGCAACGATCTGACTGGCGGAGAACCACCCCCCTACCCCTTCCCCGTCCCCGGGCTTTGAGGCCGCTGACACCGACCTGCCTGAACTGTTGGGACAGAGAACTGAGAAAAGGACTCCGCCCTGGCGCGCCCTTTCCGCCGGGCCGAGCCCGAGGCGGGCCCGGGGGCTGCCTGGGGGTAGCGGGCGGAACAGCCGCAGGTGAACCGACAGAAGTTGGGGGACCTGGCTCCCCGGCTCTGCGTTTGCATAGGCTCTGGGCTTCCATACGGTCGGTCGTGTGTTTTATGGGGCCACGGTTTTCTCAGAATCTCAGGCACCTGCTCCCTCCTTCCCCTAAAAGCTACACACGCCTGACAGAATTGGAAAGAGTCCAAGTGTACATTTAAAATGCCTGTGCTGAAGTCTGGGAATGAAAAGACGAACAAGGCACCGATCTGACAGTCTCGAGGTTGTTGCAGGGGCAGGGAGGTGAAGGGCAGGGAGAGAAAAGTGGTCGAGGCCCAGCCTGACTAGAGCTCGGGGGAGGGAGCACACCCCGGGAGTCCAGAAGCTGGACTGGAGCTGACTCTGGGCCTTTTGTTCCTTCCAGACCATGCTGTTTCCGCAGCTCAATTACTTAGACTTCAATTTAGTGTGTGTGTGTGTGTGTTTTTAATTTCAGTATATTTTTCTTTGAACTTGGTAGATGATTAAAAAAAAAATCACTTAGGATTCATTTTAAAGTGCATTGTCCAGGAGCCTGCTGGATGCTCCTGCTCTAGCCCAGTCCAGGAGTCCAAGAACTGGGATTCAGAATGCGAACCCCAACTCCTTGGAACATAGCCAGTCATCAGAAGCCCTCCATCTTGTGTACAAACTACATTTTAGGGGCAGTCATTGACTAGTCTAGAAATGAGTCAGCATTATACCTCATATTTATGTCACTCTAAGGTAGCTTACAAAGCACCATCTGTACATTTTTAAAAAAGATTTTTTTTTTTTTTTTTTTAGAAAGGGAGGGAGGGGCATAGGGAGAGAGAGTCCCAAGCAGACTCAGCCAGGAGCCCCAGACAGGGCTCCATCCCACGACCCTGAGATCAGGGCCTGAGCTGAAACCAACGGTCAGTTGCTTAACTGTCTGCACCACCCAGGTACCCTGCACCATCTGTACATTTAATCATTTGATTGTTACAACTCTGTCGAAGGTAATTTGGGAATCATTCACATTTTACTGTTGCAAAAACCGTGCCTTGTCCAGGTTCTACAACCTGTAGGAATTTGATGTAGATTTTTTTTTTTTTAAAGATTTTATTTATTTATTCGTGAGAGACAGAGAGAGAGAGGCAGAGGGAGAAGCAGGCTCCCAAGGAGCAGGGAGCCCGATGCGGGACTCGATCCCAGGACCCTGGGATCATGACCTGAGCCGAAGGCAGACGCTTAACCATCTGAGCCACCCAGGCGCCCAGCTGATGTAGATTTTAGTTATTCTTGGTGTGGCTTTTCCCATACACCCCCCCCCGCCACACACACACCCATAAGGGCATGCATGGCATTAAGATCTTATGCATTGTTCCCTAGGGGTACAGAAGACATTTCTGATGATTGTCTTATCGGCTTGTGTCACTTAATTGGTTCTCAAAATTTGATTAGGACTAGAATTCTGGGGCTTGAAACCCCAGGCTCTGTAAGTATCTCAGAAATAAGGCAGCTCAGCGAAATTCTTGCCTCTTTATGAAATGTTGAGCTGAGAGACTCCCAAGTCTCTCTCTCCTGAGGCTTGTGTGGCAACAACTGTCCAGAGGCTGGAGGCACTACCCTCACCTCTGCGCTCAGTGGCCTTTGGCACAGGGAGGTTTCAACTGGGACAGTGCCCTTTGCCTTTCCTGGTGCTGTTAGTGCAGAAGGCATTGGTGACAGGAACCGCACAGAGGATGCACTGTAGAGTGGACAGCTAGGCCCGAGGGGCCTGAGACCAGCCAGGGTTCCCTCCGGACCCAGAGTTATGCCCAGGAGGCAGGCCTGTAGTAACACAGCTGGGTGGCACAGCTGGAGAAGTTGTTCAGTGTTTTATGTTCTTCAAATGACCTGCCCTCAAAGAACGAGTGAATCTGAGTCCCGCGAAGAAGAGAAAGATCCTGCCTTAAATTCTGCAGTACTAAGAAATAAGTGTTCTGCAATATTTTATTGTGTTGTATGTTGCTCTTGTATATTCTTCCCGACAACCCCTCAAATTCCCTTCTTTTTAGGAAGGAGATACTGAAGGACAAGGAAACCTCTCAAAGAGTAGAAACCCAAGGTCTTTTGTGGTATTACCCTTGCCCTCCCATCCACAGCCATATAACTTGACAGAGCTGGCGTTCTGAGCCTGGTCAGGAGGCCGTGCAAGTGAGGGGCAGAATACCCACATGTGTTGGGGGGCTGTAGCTTCAATCCCTGATCAGAGGATTTGTTTTTGTCCCAGAGTTTCCCAGTAGCTGATTATGTCCCCTTGTTCTGCTTTCAGCATCTGTTCAGAACTTCCTGACTCTGGCATCTGAGAGGACAGCTGGGCCAGAGCTGGGCAGACGGTCACCCGAAGGAGCAGAACAGGAAGTTGGAGACTGAGGCAAGTCGGTAAGAGCTCACTGCAAGTGGCCAGGTCTGTGGTCCTTGATGATGAGGGTGGGTGGGAACGCATCCCCTACTGCTCGTGGGGCCCTGGGTGCGCATGTCACCAGCCTGCTAAACTGGCATTTTTAAGCCTGTCCTTGTATCATCCAGGATCGACAGGACCTTGTTAATGTGGGGAGGAAAGGTGCAGAATGGCTTCCCAACTGAGAATGGGCAATGTGACCCTTACAAAAACATTTGGCTTTGCACGGTAAGCTGCTTGCAAAGCACTGGGCCTGGGAAAGACTGGTGCTGTCTCTAGCCACAGATTTCCCAGTCCCTGTTCAGGACCAATTTTGCTTTCAGGCCAGCGAACAGACTTCAGGAACCACCCCCCACCCCCGGCCTTCCTGAACCCTGATCCCCCACCCCTACCCCACACTGTTCCAGCTACCGCAGGAGTGTCCAGTGCAGGATAGATAGCCATGGATTGGGGGTTGGGAGACCCAGACCTGAGTCCCAGCACAGCCACTGACCAGCCCTACGCCCATGTGACCTTGGACTAGATAGCCCCTCCTCTGGCCTTAGTTTCCTCTTTTATCAGTGAAGGAGGGGCTGACCAGAGCTGTGACAGAAGGAGAGGGGACAGGAGAGCAAAGAAGGAAGATGAAACGTCCCTTCCAGCCTCATTCACTGAGGGCTGGAGGCAAGGAGGCCCATGTGCATTCTTAGTTTCCTTTGCCTTCCTCAGCACCCTTCTATTCCTTTTGGCCTGTCTCAAGCCAGCTCATTCTGGCGAGGGAGGATTCCCTGGGTGGGGCTGGGCTGGGCAGATGTACCCTCTGTGTATAGACTACGATGCTGTCTCTACTTGTTTCAGACATGAATTATCCCACCCAGTGCTGATACTTTGTTTTATGAAGACTTTATCAGTTCCTGCCCAGAGGCAGCTCCTTGAACAGGCAGGAATTAGGCCTAGGGAAGCAGGGAGTGAGCATGTGCACATCCCGCAGGAGAGCGCTGGCCGCTGGTGCTCAGATTGCCTTGCCATTGAGCAGTGGGGCTAGGACCCAACCCAAGATCACCTAAACCCCAGGCTTGAGTGTTTGATTCAAGGTCAAGCCAGCCCTGTCCAAAATTACTTTCTGATACTGAGCTGAAATTGGGTACCTCCAAATCAGTTCCAACATGGAGTTTAAAGAATAATATTCAGATAATTTCGTTGGACATTGACGGCCTACTGATGAGCAGGATTTGTGTTAAGTGCTGGGGGTAGCAGCCGCTGCTCTCAGGTTGCTCCACCATAGTGTGTACATAGACACGCCAGTAACTTAAAGTACACTGAGTCCATTTGCTTGTGCGGTGTGCAAAGGTACGTGTGCGTTTCCGCACGCACGCGCTATATAATCAGAGGTGAGGGAACAGTTGATAGTGGGGCTTTCAGGAAGACACTTGGGAGACAGAGTGTTATTTGTGCCGGGCCTTCACATTGTTTGCATGGCGGGGAGGGGCATCCTGGGCAAAGGAAACAGCACAGCAACGGTTCGGAGGCCTAACAAGACATGTTAACGGTCCTTGCGCGTGGCGTGGTCGGAATGCTGTGACGGGCACCATCGGCCGTGCCGAGGAGTTTAGAGAGCCCAGGACCAGGCAAGGATGCGGGCAGGTTGGGGTTTCTACTGCCACTCTGGCTGCAGCGTGGAGAGAAAGCTGGAGAGGACCTGGCTCCGGCCAAGCCTGTTCTGTGCTTAGCAGAGTGGACCAGCATGGAGTAACAGGGGCCTCGGGGGGTGGGGGGCAAACATGTTTCACAGGATGGATGGAACTTCCTGACTGATTAGAGGCGGGCAGCGAGGGAGAAGGAGTGGGCTGTGACTCTCAGCTTCTGGCTTGAGCAGTCGGCTGGGGAACTCCGGAAGAAACACTGACTCTAAGTGGAGGTCAGTGTTGGTCATGGTGCCACAGAGATGACCTCCAGAACCCCCAAGTGCAAACTCTGAGTCAGGAACAGCAATTGGAACCTGGAAGTCAATACCAAGGGGTGGGAGTGAAGTGCTGGAAGTAGGTGAGGTCACCCAGGAAGGGGTGGGGTGAGAGGAACCACTTAAGTGGAGGAACCAGAAGTCAAGGCAAAGCGGGGTAAAGAACAGATAGCAAGTACCCTTACTCTCAGTGGTGCCTGCTGACTTCTTGGGTGTGGGGTGATGGATGGGGCAAGGAGCAGGCCGCGGAAGGAGCCATGGAGAAAGGGACATCTCTCTTTGATCTCAGTTAGTATGACACGTGGGCGGTGTTAAGGCCTTCACTTCATTCGTCTGCACCGGATAGCAGGGAAGGTCTGTTGGCACTTGATAAATGTTACAATCTGCATGACTGCAAATGACTCAAACTTTGTTCAGCTATTTGAAGGGCTGGGGGCCTTGGCAGCTCTCCATTTTGATGTTCTGGAGATTGAGTATTAACAGCTGAAGGAGCCCCAGGGTTTCTGGGTGGCCTGGTCCTGCCCATGGTGTGAGAGAGTGAGCTTGGGGCCATAGGCGGGACTCCAGAGCCCCGCCTCCAGCCCTCCCCTGCAGCCTGATTCCCGCCTGCTCTTGCTGGGTCGGCCTCTTTGTCAGCAGGAGCGGATGTGGCCGCTGTGAATGGTGAGTACCCCGCTCCCTGGTTTGAACTATGGAGGTTGGGGATCGGGGACTGGGGCGGGAAGTGGCTTGTGGCGTTCTGGGCTGCAGGGAAGAAGCCCTCTGGAAATTGAACTGGAGGCGGGGAGAGTTCTGATGGGGACCCAAGAATGTGCAGACTCCAAAGTGAGCTGGTTTTGATAGACCCCCATGGTGGCACTGGGATGCTTCAAGGAGCCTTCGCATGCACCTAGTCCGGTCCCATCATTTTGGAGTAGAGGAAAATGAGGCCGGGAGAGGGGTGAGGCCAGCTTCGCCTAGGGAGCCCAGCTGGGTCTTCTCCCCCTTACCGGCATGCTCTGCCCTCACCAGAGCTGCCACTCCGAGCGGCCGCAGCTGTTGTTCGGCTGTGCTTTTAGCATGCTTCACCTTTTGTGGGAGAGGATGAGACCAGGTAAGTCCCACGGTGGGAAACGAGGGCTGTAGCCGCATCAGGTGGGGGCGGGCTTCTCTAGAGACCTTGCTGTTACCTCTCAGAGAAACTGACCTTTTCCTTAACAGATGAGGCTAGGAAGGGGAGGACAGAGAAGGGACATCTGCCATATGGTAAATTTCCTTTAATGGTTTGGCTGTATTTGGTGACTGAAAAAACAAGTCAGTTTTTTTTTTTTTTTTTTTTTAATGCTCTTTAAGACAAAGGGGGATCATACCCCTTGACCCACAGAAACCCACAGATGAATGTGTGGGGAGGCAAGATATGACGGTAGAAGACTGCAGCCTTAGAATCCTAGTGATCTGGGTCCTGGTTACTGTGCTGCTGCCTGTGAGCCCTGTGACACTGGAGAAGTCCTGAACTTCTCCAAAGTCAGTGCTGTCCGCTGTAAAACAGGGTAGTATCTGCATCAAGGACTGTTGGGTGAATGAAACTAGGCCCTGCGCATCAAGTGACACGAAATAAATCCCTATCTCTCCCAATAGCCTTAGAGGCCCATGTGAAAATGCTTTGTTCTCTTGAGAGAGGAGGGTCTCCCTCCCCTCCCCGCTTTTTGTCCTGGGAATAGCTGTGATCCAGGAGCCCGAGTCAGTCTCACTATGCAGCAAGTTGCAGTGGTACATGCTCCAAGATGGGCCAGGATGGGAATTGCTTCGTAGCTCAAGGAGGCTTGGCTGAGGGGCTGGACCTGCACATTCTCTAGGTGTTTCCAGGGGTGAATTTTCACCGCTAACCCCAGCAGAAGAGCCAGCTGCTAGAGGTCCCCTGGCATAAGTTCATGGAGAGCCCTGACTCACCTCTGGAGCTAATACTGCTCTCACATCTTAGTGCTGCTGGGGCTGAGAGTGAGGTCCACGCTCCTCAAAGGGGTGATTCTTTGCTCACACTTTCTGGGTCACAGCTCGAGGTGGGAGTGGGGTGGTAAACAACACCCACATCTTGTATTCTGGCTCTTGAACTTGAGGTAGGGGGGTTGGGGGCCTTTGGGACATAGAAGTTTACATTCTCCCAGTGCCTTGAGCACTGATATCCACCCATCTCCCAACCCCCCCAGCCAGCCTGGTCTTTCCTAGGCTTGTTCGGCCCAGGCAGGGCCTAGCCCTTCCATTCTGCCCCCCCCGCCCCCCGAGTCCCATGCCAGCCCCAAAGCCACTTCCTTCTGGGTGTTTCTGTGGCTTCCCATATCAGATGGAGCTGGCTCTCGTCCCCATGGCTTCATGTTCATACCTGGCCCAAGCTGCCTCCCCTTTCCACTTGAATTTCTGTTATCTGTGTGCTAGGCCTGTGTGTCCTTGAGGATTGTGTTTCATTTAGTTGTATATCCTCCCAAATTGCCATTTATTGAACAGGTCAGTGCTGAATAAATGACTAGAAATAAATGTTGAGTCTAGTAGAGTCCTGTTCCCTTGCAGTCATGAGCAAACAGGCTAACTGGTTGTTGGTGGGAAGATGGAGCCTGTTGGTCTCTAAAGCCGCAGTGGTGTGTTAGGAGAATGTGGAGCTGAGCGTAAGGCTCTCTGGGCTTCCCGCAGTGCATTCAAGTGTTTTGGGAGTTGAAGCGAGTCCTTTTGTAGGGTAGACGTAAGCTGGTCTTTGTGTGCTGCCACAGAAATGTTATCAGATCTGTGATCAGAGACCACACCATCTGCTCCGGAATCATACACACATGTCAGAAATCCAGGGGTGTTTGGGATGTGTGTAGAAGTGCAGAAATTATTCCAGGCTCTGGGGAATCTCCTGTTTATAGCACACAGGTGAGAGCTGTGGTGGTTCTGTGAATACCCCTAATTGTTCTGTGAGTTATAATTGAGTAATGTGTTAACTTTTCCTCGTAAAAGAACTGGAAGCCAGGCCGTGGGCTGGAAGGTTCTTTCCTGCTTGGCCCAAGAACTTGGGTTCTCCATGAGTCATCATCCTCATCATTCGGTTCTATTGAATTCACCTGTGTGCACAATTTGGGAGCGATCACTGTGTACCAAGCAGGCACTGTGCTGGGCATGGCAGTTCAGAGACGACCTGAGGGACAGAGTCAAAGGTAGATATGTCCACATCTTGTGTGGACCGCACAGGAAGTGTACTGGGTATGAAGTGTCTCTTGGGAGTGGTAGCGAGGGTAGGCAGAGCATCCAGGAAGCCTTCTTGACAAGGTGTCAGAGTCCTGAAGAACAGAACCGATGGGGTAGGACATCCCAGGAAGAAACGTGGAGATGGGCTCACCAAGAGCCCCGCTGTCCCCCATAGTGAGCTGAGAAGGGAAGCTGGAGGGCGCAGCTCTCCCAGGCCAGCCTGCCCTCATCACTGGACCTTATTCTGCGGCTTATGGCTCACCAAGAGCAAAATCCTGGATTCTTTGCTCTGAGACAGTGCTTCTCCAACTTCTGTGTGCAGGTGAACTGCCTGCCTGGTCTGATTAAAATGCAGCTGATGATTCCTTAGTCCTGAGATAAGGCATGAGCTCTTCACTTCAATGTGATGCCTGTGCTGCCAGGTCAGGAGGCCGCAGTGAGAAGTGCAGTTGTAAGAAACTCCTCTCTCCAGCTCCAGTCCCTCCCATCAGAGGTGCCCTCGCCCCCCCCCCCCCCCCCCTTGCTTTCCCCCTTCCCTGGTATGCTGATGCCAGATTCCTCTTTCTGCAATGTTCTTTTCCTCTCGGCATTCCTCCTCCCCACCCCACTGGCCTGGAAGACCCCTTTTATTTCTTAACTCAAATCCGAACTTTTCCTGCTGGCCTAACACAAGGCTGGCCTACCCTCTCTTCCCAAAGTCCTCACCACCAGATTACTCCCAATCCCACCTTATGGCAGTGGGTCCCTCGAAGCCCATCCTGTGGCAGTGGCATGTGGATTTCTGGGCCTTTGCTTAATCCTGTAGAGAAATCCTCTCTCCAGCCAAGTGCTGGAGGGGAGTCAGAAGTCTTTGGTTGGGGGCACACACATACACACCGGGTCTGTTCCCGGGGACCTCTAACCAGAGTCATGCTGGTACGTAGGGAGGAAGTCCCCAGTATAAGACCCTAGGATGGCTGGAGGGCCATGGCTGGAACAGAAGTATTTTAAGTAGTTGTCAGGAGCAGGCAGGCTGGATGGGGTACCTGCTGCGGTCCGAGGGACCCAACTAGAGGAAGCCTTAGGGAGGCCCTCAGGAGTGAGCTGGAACAAGGCTGGATTCTGCAGGACCTGCCTGGGACTCCACTGCAACTGCAGAGCCCCTTGGCCCATGCAGACGTCTTTCGCCAGCCCCTCTGAGGCAGACAGACACCCAGCACCGTGCTCTTTGTTTGCATAATGCCTCCTCTCTGGGCCCACTCCCCTTCACTCAGCAGACATCTGTGTAGTGCTAGGCACACGGGGCAGAATGTCAGATTAGACACTGGTGTTTACTAGTGGCCATCTCTGTTCAACTGTGTCATTCAATAGCTGCTAGATTTTCAGGGGACATTTACTTTTCTCATCGACTCTGGTTTTATGTATTGCTTCTTTTTTGATTTTTGTTTTTTTTTCCACTCAGCCTGTTTTATTTGTATAATGAATGCAACATAGAGCTATTCTCAGTTGAGAGAAGGTCCTGAGATTGCCTGCCTACCAGGAGTGAGGCCCTGCCGGGCACTGCCTGGGGGCTGGATAAATGGTAGGGTCTCTGTTTCTGAGGGGTTCACAAACTGAAAAGGAAGAAGGATAAGATAACAAAACAGTGTGATTGGTGTTCTGAGTATTTCTTGATCAAAGAACAGGCTGCCCCTCCCCCAGGGAGGTGATAGCAGAGACTTCCAGACTATGAAGGAAAAGCAGCCAGCGAAAGGGAGGAGAAAGGGGAAGGAGGCTGCCTCCAGGGGGCCCAGCGTGGACTCACCACAGAGCTGGGAGGCCACGGCCCAACGTCAAGAGAGGCATCTCAGCGTGCTGTCATTTCTCTGTTATCGGCCTGCCCACGAGTGAGCTCCCTGGGGCAGGAACCTCCACGTGTCTGTTATTTCCCCAGGCTCTTGTGGCAGCAGGTGCTCAGCGGCCCTCATCTGCTCCCGGTCCTGTCATCCGCTCCCGTCTCTGATGCCGCTGTTCCCTTCCCCTGCCTCTGGCCTCCTGGTTGGCTGCCCAGCCAGAGGCTTGCATGGAGACCAGATTCCAGATCTCTCAAAGTGGGAGCAATAACATCTTCCTTCCTCTCAATCTCCAGAAATGTCTTTCCTCCAGGATCTGAGTTTCTTCAGCATGGGGATGTGGTCCATTGGCGTGGGGGCCCTGGGGGCGGCTGCCTTGGCCCTGCTCCTGGCCAACACAGACGTGTTTCTGTCCAAGTCCCAGAAAGCGACGCTGGAATATTTGGAGGACATAGACCTGAAAACCCTGGGAAAGGGTAAGCAGTGACCCCACAGGCCTCAGTACTTTTCCAAGGTGCTGGGATGCAGACTTACTCATTTTTTTCCTTATAAAAAGGCTCTCTCTCGCTCTCTTTTTTAATTGAAAAGGCACTATAACAACATTAGGAAAAATGTAATAACATTTTTTAAATTACTGATAAGCCCATTACCCTGACACAGCACTCATTTTTATTTTTGCACATTCCTTTTCATGTGTACATGGTATGCAGTTGGGATCTTATTGGATACCATGTTTTACATTTTAGCTTTTTCTTATCAAAAGCATTTTTCACTTTCTGCTGTTGTCTCCTGGGTCTTCACAAAAAAAGGAGCTCCTGGGTCAAATGTGTTTGAGAAACACTGTGTATCCAATTCCGTGTTCCTGATGCGCAGCACAGGCACCTGCTTATTGAAATGCAGTGTCTGGATGGTTACTGGTACAGCCATGGGCAGCCCTCACCTGTGGTGCCGCACACACAGGGCGGGGAGTGGGGAGCACAAGGTTGCACTTGTAGAGTGGACCTACCTGGCTCCCTATTGGGGAGCCCACCTGGAGTCCCTGGGGGACAGCTGAGAGCCACAGATTTGCACGTGGTTCCTTGGCTGCCTCACTGTGTGCTCTTGGCATGGGTAGCTCAGTGATGCCAGTGGTGTGGATGCAGTTGGCATGAGTTTGGTGAAACTTGGGGCTCACTGACCAGGTGGTCTCCAGGTTGGCTCCTCAAAGGGAGGCCATGATCACCTCTTCCGTAAGTGAGGAAGCCTGTCTACAGGCAGGCACTGTGACTGCAGACTTACAGCATAGGTCACCTTCGTGGAGGACTACGAAGTCCTGTGGAGAGATGTTTGGCTGTGTTCAACCCAAGGTTTCCCAATCTCATTCGATTACAGACCCCAGCCCGCTCCTGTTTTTCCACATAACATCCCACAGGGACACGGATTCTTCTGAGAAATGCCACGACAGTAAGAGTTGCTACTTGCTGAGCCCTCACTAACTCTGTGTTCGCAGACACTGCGGTGGGCACTTTTCTACCCGTCTTTTGATGTCCGCAGGGGAGCTGCTGGATGAGGAAACCGAGGTCTGGGGAGGGGCCGGCGTGTGCTCAAGGCCGCCCCACTGGATGCAGGCCCTATCTGACCACGGCCTGGCTTGAACTGCAGAACCTCAATGCCCTGAAGCATTTCCTTGCTGGGCATCTTCTACCCTCTCCTGTAAATAATACTGCAGTTAACATATTTAGGTTAAAATTTTTTTTTCATAAGGGGGCACCTAGGGTGGCTCAGTTCAGTTAAACATTTGACTCTTGATCTCAGCTTAGGTCTTGATTTCAGGGTTGTGAGTTCAAGCCCTGTTTTGGGCTCCATGCTGGTCGTGGAGCCTACTTTAAAAAAAAAAAATCAGTGTGGGACACCTGGCTGGCTTAGTTGGTGGAACATGTGACTCTTGATCTTGGGATTGTGAGTTCAAGCCCCATGTTGGGTGTAGAGATTACTTAAAAATAAAATCTTGGGCGCCTGGGTGGCTCAGTTGGTTAAGCGACTGCCTTCGGCTCAGGTCATGATCCTGGAGTCCCGGGATCGAGTCCCACATCGGGCTCCCTGCTCAGCGGGGAGTCTGCTTCTCCCTCTGACCCTCTCCCCTCTCGTGCTCTCTATCTCTCATTCTCTCTCTCTCAAATAAATAAATAAAATCTTTAAAAAAAAATAAATAAAATCTTAAAAATTTTTTTTGGTAAAAATTTCTGTTGACCTATTCCCATTGAATACTTTTTTCTTTTTAAAATTAGGGTTTTTGTTTTGTTTTTTTTTTAATCAAAGTGCAAGATCTCTTTCAGGTTTTGGCCATGTATCTGCCCTAAAGGATCATTAGAGTGTCCACTAGTACCAGCAAAGGAATTTGCCATTTTTCCAGAAATGGTCCAGTTTGGGATGTTCACGTTTGCCAGTAGATTTTGATGGGGGAGGGCCCTTTCAGGTATATAGTGGGGTCCTTCCTCTGAACAGTGATTAGTTCCTGTCTGTGTTTCCTGTTTGCTGTTTCCAAGTCCTTTGCTAGACTTGTGCCGTTTATGAGCTCCTTCATGGTTGGGGCCAGGCTGGGCTGGGAGGAGAGAATACTGACTTGCCTTTTCTCCCCAGAACCAAGGACTTTCAAAGCAAAGGACCTCTGGGAAAAGAATGGAGCTGTGATTATGGCTGTGCGCAGGCCAGGCTGTTTCCTCTGCCGAGAGGTTAGTACATCAAGGATCTGTTCAGAGAAAAGGAGTCTAGCCAAGCAGGGCCAACACATTTCCAGCCAAGACCAAGGGTCTGTAGGCCCACTCTGACCTTTGATCAGTGCTGTTATTTGCTCTAGGTATTTCTTTTGATTTATTCTCTTTGTGTATTCCTTTAACAACTCACCATATTCTGGGGTTAACAAACATACTTGACTCTCATTTGGCGCTCTCTGGCCCTTGCGTTCTTACGGACTGTTTCCAGGGCCATCTTCCCATTTAATCAGGGATGGGGACCAGGTCCAGTTTCGTGTTCTTGATGCAAAGCACAGGCACCTGCTTATTGAAATGTAGTGTCTGGATGGTTACTGGTACAGCCATGGGCAGCCCTCACCTGTGGTGCCGCACACACGGGGCAGGGGTGGGGAGCACAAGGTTGCACTTGTAGAGTGGACTTACCTGGCTCCCTGTTGGGGAGCCCACCTGGAGTCCCTGGGGGACAGCTGAGAGCCACAGATTTGCACGTGGTTCCTCGGCTGCCTCACTGTGTGCTCTTGGCAGCTCAGTGATGCCAGTGGTGTGGATGTGTTTGGGGAAACTTGGGGCTCACCGACCGGGTGGTCCCCAGGTTGGCCCCTCAAAGGGAGGCCATGATCACCTGTTTGGTAAGTGAGGAAGCTTATCAAGGGAAAGCAGGGTCCAGCCTTGTCACTTTACAGATAGGTGAAGGCCAGAGGGGTTTGGTGACCTGTCCTGGTCGCACAGTCAGTGGCAGAAGACCTAGATTCTGAGATCTGCCTTGCCTGAGGGAGAACTGGGAATGAGACAGCATTGCTTCTCACGTGGTGGCATTGGCCCTGTCCATGTGGTCTTCCTCCTTCCTCCGTTTGTCCTCCCTCAGCCTGGGCCTGCCTTTCAGCCTTGAGCTCTCTCTCCTGCCTGTGTGGCTGGGCTGACAGAGAATGTACTCACATTCAGGGCACATCAGTGCCTGTTGTCTCCCCCATGTATCCCTGGAAAATACAGCTTGTTTTACAGAGGAAGAAGTGGAGGGACAGAGGTTGTGACAAAGTCACACTGCTATGGGGAGGTGTGTTAATTTCCTGTTGCTGCTGTAACAAATCATCACAGACTTCGTGGCTTTAAACAACACAAATGTATTAGCTTACACTTCTAGCGGTGCGAATTCTGAAAGTGGTCTCATTGGGCTAAAATCAAGGTGTCAGCAGGGCTGCCTTCCTTCTGGAGGCTCCAGGAGGTAGGTGATTTCCTTTCCTCTTTGCTGCTAGCGGCCATTGCACTCCTTGGCTCATGGCCCCTTCCTCCATTTTTACAACCAGTGATGGCTGGTCCAGTCTTTCTCCTATTGTATCACCATGTCGCTGGAAGGACCCCTGTGGTTGGAGCCACCCAGATAATACAGGATGGTCTCCTTTAAGATCAGTTGGTTAACAACCATCTACTGCCTTAGTTCCCCCGGCCCTGTAACAAAACATATTCACAGCTTCCTGGGATTAGGATGTGGATTATTATTCTACCTACCATGATATTATTATTACCTACCATGGGTATTATTCTACCTACCATAGGAAAGTGAGGCCTTAAAACTCAGGGCTTTTGGTTCAAAGTCTGTGATGCCTTCAAATACTAACATGGAAACCTGTTGTGACTTGATTTCCCAAGGCCAGTTAAACCTACAAGATCCCAAGAGCAACTGCCCTCCCTAATTACAACCTGCTGGCCTGTGCTCTAGTCTCTGCCTGGCAGAGCATTTTGTGAAAAACGTGTTGGTTGGCAGTCTGTGTTATTTTAGTGGCCCAGACCAGAGGTGTAGGACTGAATTTCCACTTCATGGCTTTGTGCAGTGACACACCAGGGTACAGAGCCCAGGAAAAGGGAGTAAATCCTTTCATCTCACACACAGGTGGTCTTTGGCCACAGCAGACCTGTAGTCCTCTCTGTTGTAGGGCAAAGTCTGCCACTCACTGAAGCTCTTGATGAGTGCATCATAGAGGATTCTGCTTCATTAGCTGTCATTTTCATGTGTTCTAGAAAATAAACAAAAAATTAAATGTAGTTGCTATCATACAGCAACTTGTATTGGAGGCAGATGGGCTGCTATTTCTTTAATTCTGACACCAGTCGTGAAGAATTTGTTCTGAACAGTGAAGCTTTACCAAGACACATGTAGTTTCCTTTCTTCATCCAGCATGTAATTCAGGAGAGTCGAGGATGTCTGTATTTATCAGTCCAGCCGCAATCTCCCTACTACCCACCTTCACCTTCAGATCTTTCCACCTGGTATCTGGTACCTTCCGTGTATCCAGCCATGTGCGAGGCATGGAGGGGTACAAGAAATGGAAGACACAGCGTCTAACTATGAAACACACTTGGGAACTTAAGTGACTGTGCTCAGCTTGGTGATCACACACAGACTTGGTTCCAAAAAAGTCCCCAAGCAGAAAGATTGAATATGCACAGAGAATTGGGGCTTTCTTCCAGGCTGGATGAGCCAGGGAGAACTTTCAGAACAGGGACCCCTTTCTGGAGGGTGGGATTTGAGCGGGAGAAAAAGAAGATTGTTGGGGGTTGGGGAGCCAACTGAGAGAAGGCAGCTATTCACACGGCCGAAGTGGGGTTTGTCTCCTAGGTTTTGCTGGTTTGGTCAGGTGCAGGGGAGGGGCATCATGGCTACATGTGCAGGGCCGTGTTTGGGGGCAATCTCTCAGGTACTGGATGCTCCCCAGGCCATGGTTAGGACACCCATAATAGGAGCCTTGCCTCCTCTTCCCACCCTGCAGAGAACAAGAAGCCTGGGCTGAGGAGGGGGCCTGACACCCTACAACTGCGGCCCTGGTCCCAGCTGGGACAGGCTCTGCTGGGTTCCACAGGCCTTCATTGTTCTGGGTGTCTTGTCGCTTTTGTTCTGCATTCAGTGCCAGACCACTCTGGGTCTGCAGGGGAGCAGGCTTTGGCCAGCTGCAGAACCACAACAGTGTGAGCCCCTGACGTTCCCTGTCTTCTGCAGGAAGCTGCGGACCTGTCTTCCCTGAAGCCCAAGCTGGACGAGCTGGGAGTCCCCCTGTATGCAGTGGTGAAGGAACAAATCAGGACCGAAGTGCAGGACTTCCAGCCTTATTTCAAAGGAGAAATCTTCCTGGATGAAAAGGTGCATCTCCTGTGAGCCTGTTGACACAGACTGGTGGGGACTGTGCTCAGGTGTGGAGAGCTCGTTGGCCCAGGGTATGTCTGGCCTGGAGCTGGAGGCTGGCCTCTCTTTCGGCTGCCCTGGACGTGGAGGAGCTTGTGCAGCCCTCTGGGCAGAGCGTAGAGCGTGATGGGACACTTGACAGGTGTCCTCTCAGTTATTACTTGAGCCCTTCCTGAACTGTGACCTGGGCACGGGAGCCTGGGAAATTGCTGAAGCCCTGCTGGGTTCTTGCACCATGCAGGTGGGGACCAGCACAAGCCCCTGTCCCTTACTTCCTTGCAGCCATATTCCTTTTCCCTCTGCTCTCACCTGTGCAGGATGTTGGGCTGTTTAGCACCCTGTCGGGCACAAGAGCCCCGTGTGTCTCTTAGAGGCAGAGTGGAAACCTGCATATCTGTTTCCCAAGCGTGGACCTGTCCTGGGGTTGGAAGTTGGCCTGGCAGGGTTCTTTCCCTGGGCAGTTGAGAGTGCTCCTGAATGGGAGCCGTGTGTGGGTTAGGTTGGGGGGAGGACATGAAGCAGCAGGCTTTGGGTCTTTGAGAACGAATGCCCTGTTGGGAACCTTTCCTCCTTGGGGAAGGCAGGCATACAGGCTGCTCCAAGGGGCTCTGTCTTTCTTGCTCCTACAGAAAAAGTTCTACGGTCCCCAAAGACGGAAGATGATGTTTATGGGATTTATCCGTCTGGGTGTCTGGTACAACTTCTTCCGAGCCCGGAACGGAGGCTTTTCTGGAAACCTGGAAGGCGAAGGCTTCATCCTTGGGGGAGTTTTTGTGGTGGGATCAGGAAAGCAGGTAAATTCCTCATGTTCACTTGTGGATCTGTGGGAGTCTGTAGGCACAAGACCCCAATGTGGGGAGTGACCTTCCCTACTTGGAGTCTTGCAGCCTTCCTTCTAGAAAGCCCGGGAATGTGAGGAAGGAAAAGGGAGGGGAATTACCCTTTACCACACATCTGCTCACAGGCCACCTCACACTCGGATCTCCTCACTCATCACAGTAATGTCCTGAGATGGTCTGGGGGTTCCGTGGGCCAGTAACTGGGGACTGAGAGGTGTGGGTGAGCATGTGCCTGCATCCGGGTTTCCTGATGTCAAGTTCTGTCTTCGGTGCTTGAACCAAAGCGTTGTTTTCATTCTTTTAAGAACTTGTTCCCCTGCAGTTTTCCCAGGTCATCAGGGATGGACAGTAGAGAAAAGGAAGAGAAGAGAAGGAAGAAAAACAGGCCGAATTAGGGGGAGTAGCAAGGAGATGTTGGGGGAGACAGCACTTTTCCCTGTGGGGTGCCGCTCTGGAGAGGTAGCAGACTTCTCCACAGACAGGCTGCTCTGGGCCCTGGCTCTGAGGCTCCAGGGTCAGCACAGGGACCCTGTGGGCCCTGGAGGCAGGTGGGTGGCTGCTCCGTGTTGACTGCAGGCAGCCTCAAGCTGGGGGCGCCCCCCTATGCTGGAAGGCAGTGCCTTCAGATGCCAGAGCAGGCGTGGGGCGAAGTGGATGCAGTGTCAAGGGCCCGACAGGAGGACCTCGAGACTGATGGCCTGACCTTGAGTCCTGTCTCTCCCAGCCTTGGGCGTCACGTTCACACTAGGCCGCCTTTGTAAAAAGACAGTATTATTTGCATTGGTGGGTCTCACTGCTAATGTTAATTGCACACTTCTCTCAGTTTGGGAGGAATAAAAGCTACTAGGAATTGAAATCTTTCAATTTTAAGTTCTTCTAATCTCTTCCTTTTAAACCTTGGTAGCTGCTGTTGCTTGTCCGTATTAGAATCTTGCATGGATTGGTGTCTGATATTATACAAACCTATTTGCTTCCTTTCTGGTAAATATACCGAAATGTCTTAGTGATCATGGCTGCCAGCGAGTGCCCGCCTTGTTCTGAGTCCTCATGTACACCATATCATACCTTCCTCACAACCAGTCTGGGATGTTAGGGATTTTTATTCCCATCTACATGTAAGGAAGGGAATTATGAATGATATGAAATAACTCCGCCAAGTCAAGAGAGGGTGTGTCTCCCTTTTCAGATGGTCAGAGTCTGACCTCTGAGCTTCACTTGCACACCTTGAGGCTTTTCTCTGGAAGCTCATCCGCCAAGAGATACACAGCTGCTAAGTGGTACAGTGGAAATGGAACTCAGGAACTCAGACACGTCCTGCTCCAGAGACCCCCACCCTTCCCCTGCCCAAGGCCTCTCCTCAGCAGTGGTTCCCAAAGACCCCTTCCAGATGCCCTTGTGCTTGGGCAGGCCCCTTCCCGAGAGGATCAGTCGCCCAGCCTCTTCAGGCTCTGGCACACTGGGATTTGGGATTCCTTCCTCTTCCCTTGCTCTGCCTTCCCTCAGCCTCCGGGGCAGGGCAGAGCTCACTGGCAGCCTTCCCTTGCCTGCCAGTGACTCATCTGGTGCTCACAGGCCCCCCAAGCCCGGCTGGCACATTCCTGGTGCTGCTAGGTGTGTTGTTGGACTTTGTTGGTGCTCCCTGGAGCGCAGCCTTCTTCCTTTCTGGTGGCAGGTGGACTGGCCTGGCTGAGCTGCTAGACTTTCCTCCGGGATTCTGGAGAGCAGAGTTTTCGTAGTTTTCCTTTGTAATGGTAATCGTTAAAGCATGCTTACTTTAAAGAAGCAATGTGTTTTCAACATAGAAAATCTGAAAATACAACAGTAGAGGGTGAGGAGAGCCATTCTGTAAGCCGCCATGCACAACCCGCCAGAACAGAACAGAGCTGAGAAGCCTCTTATTTTTTGTGTGGGTTTTTGTTTGTTTTTTAGAAAATCTCACTATTCTTTTTTCATTTAACAGTGTATCATGAACATCTCCTATGTCATTATATATTCTTTCTCAGTATTTTTAATGTCCGCGTACTACTTTATTAGACATGTAAATATAGTTTCCTGATCTGCTTCCCTGTAGTCACCTCAGTGTGGTGGGACTTTTTGGGTTTTTCAAAAAAGTCTTTATAAGTAATGGTGCAGCAAATGTATTTATGGATGTTTGTTTATTTGTTTTGTTAAGATGAGCTCCCTGATGTCCTGGGTCGAGGAACTTTTTTACAGGTATTCCTCGATACTGATCTCAAGCACACTATTTTATGTTTTTTACCACTTTCGTGTACTTTGGTGTATCCTCTCTCCTAAAGCATTTTGCTTCACAGTATCAGGAGCGGCCTCTGCTTTCTTAGGAAAACTGAAGTCAAGAGAGGGTGTGTCTCCCTTTTCAGATGGTCAGAGTCTGATCTCTGAGCTTCACTTGCACACCTTGAGGCTTTTCTCTGGAAGCTCATCCTGTGTCAGCTCTCTCTCCGCCTGGCGTGTTCTTTTACTTCAGCTCTACCTGTAGACACGTGGCTGCCTTCCATGCTGTATCATCTGTGAAGCCTTCCCTGATCACCCCATTATATTGCCCCATGTAGATGCCCCTCCTGACTTCCTGCTCCCACAGTGCTGCTGGAACAGCCCATCCGTTGTGATGTGACCTTCCCTGGTCCCGTTTTGCCACCAGAACTGAACCCTTCAGGAACAGAGCCAGGCCTGACCCGGATTTGTGGCTGCTGCTGCCCAAGCTGCCACTCAGTGTCTGTCCCATGAATTGAGTGACTCAGAGTGAGGACTGATGTTCCTTCTTGTTTTCCTTTTAGGGCATTCTTCTCGAGCATCGAGAAAAAGAATTTGGAGACAAAGTGAACCCAGTTTCAGTTCTGGAAGCTGCTAGGAAGATCCAACCCCAGACTTTGGCCACGGAGACAAAGTGATCGTGTGAAACTGCTCAGGGATAACTAGGGGCACTCACCTGTGCCCTGGGACATGTCGTATCTCCACTCATGTCCCCAGAGAGTTAGAAACCCACTCATGCCATATTGTCAGTAGAGATCATTAATGTATTTTAATACTGTGCTCTCTTTAGGCCCAGTAAGGCAAAATAGCCCCCACACAAGACTGATAAGAATCTAAGAAACCAGTGAAAGTAATTTCAGCTAAAACCTGGAAAATATGAGGCTTAGCCTTGACTGCTGTACCTCCTTACAACGTACGTGGCGTGAGTGCCCTTATCAGAAATGGCTTTTATTTTCGTGTTTTCAAAAATCTAAGAAAAGTTGATGATTGACTTGAAGATTCAGGATATGAAGGCTTGGGGCTTGTGTGTTCTCCATTAATGACCTGTTACACAATGTTAAAGTAATACTCACGCAAAGGAATTGGCAGGCACTGGGTGGCTTACTAAAAGTAAATTATGAAGTGAAATCTGTTTTTTCATCGTCTTCCATTCTAATCTCAGAGGTTTGTTTTTCTAGAAGAAGTGATCATCTCTGGCTCTAATAAAATTATGTATCAGAAATTGCCTATAATACAAGTTTTTCTGATAAAACTAACAATAAAAATATTTACCAGAATGGTGGCTGAATTTAAATCATTGGTGCCAAAGACGTTGAGCGTGAAAAATCTGGGTTCTCCATGCATATGAGGTAAGGGGTACTGGTGGGGGAGCCCCTCTAGTTCTCATGCTCTAGGAGGTTTGCAAGTGACCAAAGAAATTCATCCTGTCGTTCGTGTTAGTGATTTTGTTGTCTTCCCTAGGGAAATGATGTTTTTTTTTTTTTAATTGGTAGCTGCTTTCCTACTGATAGTCTTTCAGCCTAATTTGAGGTGAATGAGGAGAAGGGACAGTGAGGATGAAATATAATTTAATTCATTAATTTGTTACATTTGAATTTTTGTCATATGTGTAAGTATGAGATCAGCGAAAGCCCAGAGGTGGGGGGGGGGGGCTGGCCCGGGGGGGGGGGGGGGGGGGATGGGAGTCCAGTGAAGAAGGGACCAGGGAGCAGACGGGCCAGGAGGAGGGGAGTCAGTGTTTAGCCAGGAAAGCAAGAATGGGGACAGTCGGAGCTGAAACTAGAAGAGCATCAGCAATGAGCGCAGAGTGTAGGGGCAGCTGGTGCAGGACTAAGGCCGGGTACGGCTCTGACGTCACGCGGAGCCAGTAGCACCGTGTGCACACAGGCCTATGAAGGGCTAGGCTTCTGCGGGCTTTGAGCAACCCTCTTCAGTCCTTGAGCAGGGTTGGTGTAGTGACTCATCCCCCAGGAGTTGTGCTCCCAGGGACTCCAGCCACAGGTAAGAGAACTCGGATCAGAATTCCCCAGTGCCTAGACAATGCTTGCTTCCGAAACTGTCCTCTTGCAACTACAGAAGAGTAGAACCTGCAAGGACATGGCGGGGAGGGTGCACGAAGACAGGCCTTACTCCTTCCCCCACAGTGTCGTTGCTGGGCCCTCATGTGCAGTGTGCTCTTCTCTCCCATTAGCGCCATGTCGTGACTGACCCATGAAGTGGCTTCCAGTTTCTGGTTTAACCGTGTGACTGAGCAGAGCTCTGACCTTCAGCTCCTTCACTAGTAAAATGGGCATCGTAATTCCCGTCTAGCATTCAGGGCTGTTTATTAGAAGTCATTGAGGGAATGATGAATATAAAACAGTGCTTCTCAAACTTTAATGTACATGCAGAGGCACCTAAGAATCTTTTTAAAATGGAGATAAAGAAAAGCCAGATGCTCGTTAAAGGCAGGAAAGACAGATTGATTCGGTGACCACTGCAGTAGGGGAGAGGCCTCCGTATGGGACTGAGCTCAACTGGGCTCTGTGCAGAGATAAGTGGAATTTTAAAGGGTGATGAAGGAAGGGACAGGAGACAAGCGATGCCTTGAGCAGAGTCAGAGAAGTGGAAAATTACTGAAAGTGGGTGGTGGGGATTGGTCAAGGTGATGAATCTATCTGTGTCTACTAACCGGCTAGCTTATTAAGCTTATTAATTAAGCTTCTGCCCTCCCACAGAGACTGGGAGATGGAGCCCTATCTGTTTTGAGGGTTATGCTTCAAAGGGATGACTCTCAGGTCCTTGGGACAAACACTCCTGGGTTTCAGGAGATGCACAGATATCTCAAAGGGACAGAGAAAGAGTTTACAATTGTAATTTTTTTTTAAGTAAATGCTCTAAGGAAAGGGAGGTCAGAGGGCTATGGTCAGGTGTTTGGCTGAAACAAATGGTAAATTCTTTTGGCAGCCTTGAGTTTTCCAAGGCAGGGGCTCAAGGGGTGCTGGGTTGTCCCAGGGAAACAGTCTTGAGCTGCTAGAAACTATGCTAGTGTTTGTTCAAGTCTCCTAGTTGGGAGGGGGTAGACAAAATTGTGCTCAAAGTTTTACAGTTCTCAAGGCCGGGGTGGGGCTGGAGTTTTTGCATTCTAACAAGCTCCTGATGGTCTTGGTGTTCTCTTAGTCCATGGCTCACACTCTGAGAAGCAAGAATCTAAAACACCCTACAAATTAAAGACATTAATATCTGTGGGCTTTGGACATTGAAGCTTCAGCAGTCTTTGACAAGCATTAATTAGCAGGTTCCCTTTTCCTTATTTGAAAAGGAATTGACAATCCATAATAATGCAAACTACCAAGAGAATCCAAGAAAGAGTCCTTGCTGGAAAGCTGCTGGTTCTCAGTTTGGATACACAGTAAGACCACCTGGGAAGGTTTAAAAAAATTCTGATGCCTGTTCACACCCCCAGGCCCATTAAATCCAAATCCTGGGCTAGGACACAGGCAACAACATTTCTTAAAGCTACAGGATGATTCCAATATTCCAAGGTTGAGAACCATCCCCAAAGACCTCAGTGTCAAGTTTGGAAGACCAGTGCTCACACATCTAGGAGAACTTACCTAGAACCAGGGGGCCCCTGATAATCCCTGAGTCTTCAGGTGGCAAGGGTCAGGGATGGTTTAGACGTGGATGTGGGGGAAATCAGGCTAAAACTGAATTTTCAAGGTGGAGATTTGGATAAAGACCTCATTTCAGGCAGAATCAAGTCCCTGAACCAAGATGTAGTGAGCGAAAAGGTAAATAGTAGGTATGGGAGAACAGGGAGTGGTCTGATCTGTTTTGCTTACCTGATTCAACTTCCTCTTGCCCAGATTTCTCAAAAGGAGTGCCCTTTCCACATGGATGACTATTTCAAAATAAAACTATTTTACTGGGGGTGGGGGTGGGGCAACTGGAAAGCAGTGCCTATTTTCCCCAAGCTAGGCATATTTTGGGTGATGGGGGGCTGGTAGAGAAGGTGAGCTGTGGGGAAGAGGTGGTAGGGGGTTGTGTGTGTAGAGGGTAGATTGGATCAAAGTGTCCAGCTGAACACTACTCCTCAGCCCTGGCTGTTTCCTCTGTTCTCAGTTGCTTATGTCCCATGGGGCAAGTAGGCAGTTACGGACTTGTGAGTTTATGTTTGGGACGGATGGGTAAGGATAAGTTGTCTTGTTCTGGTTTGGTTCAAATCCTTTTCTAGGTTTAAAGGAGAAGGGTGTCTTTTAAGGTTAGTTTATTTTTAAAGCAATTACCATAAAGGATGATTGTGGGAGGGATCCCTGGATTGGGGGGAGGGGGATCCATTCAAGGACACGCTCTTTCCCAGGTATACCTGGTGACTCTTCTGTGTTACATAATGATGGTCCAGGCCAACCCAACAAACTAGTTGAAAGTGGGAGTCAGTTCTTCCCATAATTTAGTAAGAGCACAGGAAGTGATGGGATGGATGTCCTACTGGAGACAGTTGGCCAGAGGGGGCCTCTTTCATAACATATTTGGGCAGACACCTACGAGAAGTAAGAAAGCAGGTCTTGTTAACCTCAAAAATATGTGCTTTTTAAACAGCAAAAGTGGGTTTTTTCAGGAGTAGCAGAGAACTGCAACTCATGACACACAAGCTGTGGCAAAACCCATAGGCAAGCCCAACAAAGGAGCGGAATGTTATTTTATGGAGAACAAGGAAGAAGTTGGGAGGGGTTATTTTGAACCAAAGTCCATCAGAAAAAAGCAAGGTTTCAGGGCGACAATGTTTCTCATTGGCTGAGTTGCAAGGAGTTGTCAATTTCTTGTAGGAGATGCAATATACATATTTTCCTGTTGGAGCCTGAAATTGATGATTCTTTCCTGTTGTGGATTTTGTTATTGACCATTTTTCCTGTAGTTGAGTGGTATGGCTCCCCCTTCTAGCTTGCCCACTCTACTTAAATGAAGTTTCTTTTTATTAATTTTCACAGTCTTTGTATACTGGAGGAAAACCATTCCAGGCAGAGGAAGCAGCAACAACATACAAAGGCCCAGAGGTGGGGATGAGATTGTTATGTCCAAGGGACAATAAGAAAGCAAGAGCAACATGAGTAAAGGAGGAAAGGTAGGAGGTGAGATCAGAAGGTGGGGAGATGGTAGAAATGCATGCCATGTTGTTCTGGCAAGTTATGGTGAGAACTCCTGAATTTTACTAAGAGAGATGGGAATCCATTGGAGGGTTTTGAGAAGAGGAGTAAAATGATCTGATTTATATTATTCTGTCTGCTTTGAGATGATTGTAGAGGATCAAAGGTTCCACCAGGGAGACCACTTAGGATCCTGTTGCACAAATCCAGGCAAGATAATGGTCGAACCAGGTGGTACCAGTAGAGGGGTGAGAAACTGCCAGATGGCAGGTATGTTTGAAGGCAGAGCTAAGAGGATTTCATGAACAACTGGATGTGGGATGAAAGAGAAAGTCAAGGATGACTCCAAGATTTGGGGCCGAGCAACTAACTGCACATGAATTTTGCAGTAGAGGGGACAGGAGATGATAAGCTGGAGGAAAGGCTTTCATGTGCTACAACAGTTACAGTGAATGGACCAGAGATGTAAGTATCAACTCGGGATGCATCCAAACAGCGCTAGGGTGGAAAACAAGCTTCCAAATGGTACATTCAATAGGATGCAATTTTCATAAATTTTTAAGACACGCACAACAGTATTGTTTAGAACTCCATATATACATAGTGAAGTGTAAAAACATGTATGGGATGATAAACGATGTGCAGCCAGGGTTGAGCACCATCTGATTGCTTTACACTTTAAGAAATCCTGTTGCTCAGGACAGATCCTAGAATGTCTGGGGATGGACCCAGGTGTCATTTTTTTTAAAGCTCCCTGGGGATTCCACTATGGCGGCAAGGTGGAAAACCACTGCCTTAAATTGAGAAATGACTGAAATCTGGGAAGCACACGGAATTTTCCTTTTATGTCTAAGCCTTGGACAGATATGTTTTATTTATTTTATTTATTTATTTTTGTTTTACACTTTGTTCATTTAAGTAATCTCTACACTCAACGTGGGGCTCAAACTCACGACCCTGAGATCAAGAGTCGCATGCTCCTCTAACTGAGCCAGCTAGGCGCCCCTGGGCAGAGTATCTGTTTTAGAGTTAGGCAAGAGACACCCATGCCCTGATTTCCATGTTGTTCAGCCAGGAAACATGAAGAAACTCCATCCCCAGCCTGTGGTCTTCTGACATCCAATGGACTCCTTGGAGAAATGGCTGATTGCAG